TATTATTCAACATGAAATGAATTATTGATATTCATTGATAACTTACACTAGAGACAGTTCCATTAGGTGTATAAGCAATAAATGGATTAACTGTTTTTGGTTGTGTTGTATCATAGACATGTTCAACTCCAGCTGTTTGAAAAATGACCGTGCCATCACTATTGGTGAGAGTAACTCTGAAAAGATATATAACAGAAGTTAAAGATATTTATTGAGTTGTCCATTTACCGATTAGGATTATTATCATCAGGATAAGAAAGAAGAACATTATATTTTGGTTTTGTTACATTTAAACCATCAGTTATCCATCGTTGTTCGATGACTTGAGCACTTTCTAAATCTTCAGGTAGACCAGCTAGATGAGGACGTGAAGTGAGATCTCTATATGATTTAATGTTCTATAGATATTTTTGTTGAAATGAAAATGAAATGACGATTACTTAAGATTTGTTTCAATGTTAGCTGCTTGTATAGAGTCAATGAATGTTTGATAGTTTTGTTGATCAGCTTGTCGTGTAAGACGATCATATTTCAAAATAGCATGAGTCTGCTGTTTATTTATACCAAAATAACCAATTGTGACACCAATGCCTAATGCAATAATTCCGATAAGAAAAGTAGCCAGATAAGAACGCTAAAAATAGATACTTGATGTCATTCATTAAAATAAAAGATAGTTATTAGTACCTTATCCATGTGCAGTCGAAATTGTGCGTATTCGCTTGTATTCGTATCTATTTCGTTTGATATTTGATGTATTTATCGAGATGAACTTTTGTTATTTTCGATATCTGTACTTATATAACACTGGTTTAAATATCTTTCATTGTGCTTCTTTATTTTTCTTTTTTTTGTCTTTCCTTGAGAAAAAGCATTCATTGCTGTTGTTTGTCGAACTAAGACCTTTTTTTTAGTTAAGATATAAATGTACTCGAATGTTGTATACATCCGTATAGTACATGGTATGAAATGGTTACCAACTGCATTAAGTAGAGTATTTAGTTTAACATTAATGTCATTTGTAGAACAGTATGCTGCCAAGAAAATTAAAACAACTTATTTTCTGGGTAGTATTTGCACACGAGTGTTCATCTTTATTGTATTAAATGATGCATTTTTACTTTCACTTTAACAAATAGCGATACTGATAGTGTTGAAAGTTATTTCTAGAGAATATTTCAACAAGAGAATAACTCAGTTGATGCATGGTGAACAATTTTTATTTTATATGATCGTCGTAAAGAATTAATCGTCAACATTCGATAGCAATTGATAAATAACAAGGACGACTTATGTTTACGCAAGTATTGACATTGTAGATTGTGTCAATTAAACATTGAAAAAAAGATCTTTCTTTGATTTGTACGAGGTCATCATTGCAGATGTGCAAATAGTCAATAATAATTAATCATTTCTTTTGTCAAGTCACGATAAGTTTTTTTTCTCTCGATAATAGTGCTTTCTAAAAAAAGAATACCATTAAGGACTGAATAGTTCCTGAGAATAGGTGCACTGTAGTTTTATTGGATAGTAAAATGCAAGAAAATAGTATATTTATAGACAGTCGACACAGTTTTATCAAGCATACTATTCATATTACTTTAATTCGAAACTTCTTTTATCCTCATTTTTTTATCAAAACATACAATGACTATGCAATTTACTCCGTTGTTTATAAAGACCGCTGAATAGCCTATTTTAATTTTATCAAGTGAACGCTCTCCACTGTAATGAATAGTACTTTTGATGTATTTTCTATTTTATGCAACGCAAAAATCATACAATGCTTGTCAATCAAAGCTAAGCTAAATCACTAATATTAGGTTTATATTTTCATCACCGTAAAATCCTCTGTATATGAGAACCTTATTCTACTGAGCAGTCTATAGTCTGCTGGAGCTGAGAGTCTTCCAAGAAGGGTGATCTTCTCCCATTCTTGGACTACTTCTGTTTTATTTCAACGAAACTGAATGATTTTCTTTATTGTTTTTGCTCATCAATATTCGCAACAAGAGTCAACCTTTCCAAATATTACGAATTCTACCTTTTCAGTAGTTGCTTGCCTACACTCTTGATAACTGTGGCATATCACTGATCGAAGTGAATTTTTCTAGAAATGATCCTTTCAAACATGTGAGTATCTCTTTATTCTGAGCAGTGGATCCTAATATATGGTCCCATTAGCAATAATAACTACTCTATTGTGACCAACATATATCTTATCACTCATGCATAAGATGAGAAAAACAACAATATTATGTGTATTGCTCTATAATAAATAATCTTAGAATGCGCATAGAACGGAAATGGACTAACCGTGTTTATTAAAAACAAAAAAAAGCCATATTAGACAATAGTAAGAGTGCTTGCTATCACATAATGTCACTCTTATATTAACAACTAGTAACATTAAATCATGTCATAACATACTGATTTATCTCTAGTTAAAAAAACTGAATGAATAAATTATTGCGAAAAAGAAAAAAAATTATTTTGTGCAGTCGAAAAACGGTTGCAAATGAATATTTATAGGTTTCAAAAAAGAAATTGGAAACTTCCTGATGATGAATACATATGTAAAGTGAATACTTTTAGCTAGTTCCGATAGTACCTACAATAAAGGGATTTTCATTGTATAGACTTAAAGCTTTGCACTAATAATTCATCTATTGATAAGCATCTTATTTCTAACATTCAAATATCATTTTGATATTATATCAAATAAAATTTTAAATCTTTAGATAAATACGAGATAAAGTTGGTTGCATTTTACTAACAACTCTAGTTCTTTGGTTTCCAATTGAGATTGAGGAATATTATTTTAATTACTTCTTCTAAACTTGGTTTTTATTATTTTACCACTATACGCGAATGCTTGATAAACGACATAATAGGTTATATAATGGTATAATATTATTAATAGATCATCGAATTCAGTTTATGAAAAAATTGAAAGAAAATACGTATACAAAACAATGTGGTATAAATTATTTGAAATTTTATAAGCTTATGCTTTACATTGATAATAACTAATTTATAGAGAAAATTAACATCTTTAATGTCTATCAAAAACTCTAATTACCAAGCCTAGAAGTACTATTCTCGATATTTTGGTTTATTTGAAAGCTACTTGATATTATCACCTGCTGCTATTTTGATATCATCATCATCTTCGTCGTCGTCGTCGATTCTATCGCATTCCTTCGTATGTTTTCTATTAATTTATAGACCGTTCTAACAAACGATCATCGTTGATAAGCATATTGTAGTAATTATGAGAGCGTGCAATCATTTTTCTGTTACCTTTCACTTTTGATCAGTATTGAAAACGAAAGCCACGATTATTACTATTTTCGTCCAAGCCAATGTCCATTTCTTTTGTAACTGAACGAATAAGAACAAATAATGAATTGCTATTAACAAAGGATAGCTGATGCGTATAAGTATGCAATAGATTTATAAAACTATAATAAACACTTAATCTTGAAATAGAAAAGTAAAGATGAGACAAGAGACATCTACACTAAAACTAAATATCCCTCCAGGTTGGTTAATAGCCTGTGACTTCTTGAGGTGGGGTTAATTGAAACAGGTTGCCACCTATATTTGATCATGACCATAAAACATAATAAATATCTTTGAACTACATACAAAAGAGCAAAAACACTAAAACTGAAAAAATGAAAACTTCAGCCTATATTTGAGATTAAAGAACTATGATATCATAAATAAAAAATGTTGGTTTCTCTTTGATATGTATATAAAAATGCATCTATTTAAAATCATCTTATGTCATAAATCTATCGAATTTTTTTAATGTTGATAAAATTATTGCTGTTTTTTTTGATGAATTACTATTTGATAACCATTAGCGAGTGTATGAATAATAGTTGGTAAACCAGAATCATCATATTGACAACCTCTAGCTAGTGCATAAATCATGTCTCATATAAATGAAAATAACATTCAAGAATTGACATAGAAAAAGTATGTTTTTTCGTACGTAAAATCAGTATAATGTGAACTTTGTCTTAATGGACTTAGAAAAGCTCGTTCAAATTGTTACAATTAATCATTCAATTCTCTAATTTCATATGGACTAAAAGCAAGAAAAGATGCTTTTAATCTTATTTATTTCATAATAGTAACTACTGAGTTTTTAGTGTTTAATGACTTGGAACGAATTACAATATCTTGTGATGCTTTGTTGAAGACATTGATAGCATTTCGAAGTATTACTAAAGTAATGTTTTATGAGAAGAAAATAAATCGAAAGATGTCATTGATACAAAATTGTGTATCATTCTGTTGCATATTCTTCATTATTTGCTTAAGTGCTATCGTATATCATATAATTAAATGGTAAAACACATGTTTGGGAAAGAATTAATGTTAAAACACTATAAATTGACCCATTGATCTATGAGTCTAAATAAGAAACGTTATTGAGAATTAAAATAAATAATCCTAAATCATTATTGGTTTACTAGAAAATCTGGATCGATAAAATTTTTCACCGTAGAAAATGTTTCGTAAAACATGTGATAAAGTGGATATATATTAATACTTCTATGATCGATTGAATTAAACTTATATGCTGCATCAAAATTTGTTGAATTAACTAACTGATCAAATGCATAATGATCACTAGCTGCTGATCCCAAACCATACTGAATTCTGTACAGAAAGTCGATGTATGAATTTAGAGAAAAGTTCCACAATATACAATTTGATTCATTGGTTATATTATGCCGATGAATTCTCATCCATTTATCATAAATAGTTTGATCAGGAAGATCATATGCACTGAGAATCTTTATTTCAAGTTACATACAGAGTGTTCTAAGAAATGCGAGCGAAAAAATATATGTGAATAGCTTCTCAATGATTCAAAAGATTGAATTGTTTTTCTTTTACAGTTTGATCAAAGCTTCATTTAAGTTTCATTCGATATATTTCAGATAAAATGTCTGTATATATAGCAATCAAAATTTAAATAGTATTACTTACTGATGGCTCATTTCGAGTCATCTATCACTGTAAAAAAAACGCTACCATTCGGATTCAGCAAAGCAAGCTAACTGAATCGTATATTGGGAGCAAGTTTCATCGGTATTTTGAACATGCTACTGTAGAAGATCGATCATGTTCTAGGAGATCATAGAGTAATTGCTTACGAAAAAATCGATAAAATTGATAATACTGGTAAACAATGAGACAAGGTTAAGTGTTTGGACTATCCAACTCTTCTTCGTCGAACTAAACTGTACTTTCTATGACTTTAATAGGAGATTGTACGTCAAAATCTGATATTTTGTACCTTATGGTTATGAGCAATCTTGTACCATATACTAATGATTCAATTCTGGCTCATTTTCACAAGAATCCTTAACTTCATTTAATTTTATATCAGTAATTGCTCTAGTCGATTTTCGGCAATACCGAATGCATAAAGTTATTGAAATGTGTTCATAATAAACGATTAAGTTACGAATTCTTGACAAGATCCATGGACATGAAAGAAAGTTGTAGTTGAGAAAAAGAACCAGAGTCGAAGTTAACTCCGTCTTTGTTTCATGGTTGATTGTTCCTATAAGGCATTGTTGGAATTTCCAAAATGTATCAGTTTATTCCATAAATATCAAAGAATAAAGCTCACTGTTCAAAAAAGTTCCCATGTTACAACTGAGTTTTCG